GCGGCCAGAACCTTCTCCGGGGTCAGAGTCCCCAGATGTGTGGCTCACACAGCGGTCAGAACCTTCTCCGGGCTCGGAGTCCCCAGATGTGCGGGTCACTCAGCGGCCGCAGTTTCCCCAAGGCCTCGAGCCCTTTCAGCGACAGGGGCTCCCTCCAGGCCGGGCACTCGCTCAGAGACTGGTGATGCCTCTACGAATGGGCCCGCAGGAGGCTGACGCTCTGGGCATCCGCACTGGCACCCTACCTGCCTGCAAGGAGCCTTCCCTCCAGAGAGAGGCACCTGACACGCGTGGATTTCAGAGAAACACCCGCCGTGCCCGGGGGAACCCTGAGAAGCCCTTGTCCAGCCGGGCCAGGGGGGATCCCTGTCTAGGTGGAGAACCCTCACAGCGCCCCACTGTCCTCACCAGACGCCGGAGGACCAGAGAGAAACGCCTTGAGTGCGGTGCGGTCGGGCAGCTGGGCGGCCCCGAGGAGGAGACCCGCAGCCAGGAAGCCTTCCTGGACTGTCTCCACTGCGGCCGGGCCTTCGTCCGAGAAGCGCACCTCGCCCAGCACCTCCAGGACCACGAGGCCACCTGCGCTCTGTCCCCCGAGCGGCCAGGAGCCCCCAAGGTGTACTGCGTCCGCTACGTGCCACAGCACAGGTACGTGAGCGAGAGGGCCAATCAGTGCTGCGACTGCGGCAAGACCTTCCGACGGAGCTCCCACCTCAGCCAGCACTACCGCGTCCACGCGCAGGACAGGCCCTTCCAGTGCCAGCTGTGCGGCCGCTGCTTCAGCCAGGCCTCCTACCTCACGCTGCACTACCAGCTTCACTCCCAGGAGAAGCGGTGACCCGCTCTCCTCATTCTCTTCACACACACGGGGGCCCGAGGGTTCCTGGAACAGGACGTCTTCCACCAAGCCTCCAGACCCATTGCCTTCCAAGTCTGTCTGTCTCGTCGTGACCCAGAGGACAGAGTGGAACGACCCTGAAAAGCTTCCGAGGCCGTGAACCGATGCAGAAGCAAGCCTGCCTCATCTTGTCTGTAGAGCAGCTGCTGCCCTTGAACTGCTGACTTCCTCACGATCAGATTATCAGCCACACCTCGGGGCTCCTTGCGCCAAGCTGCCCTTTTTCTATTAGACAAGTTACACCGTGGTGTGGTCAGAGAGCAGTGAGCGGTAGCCAGGGTATAGGATGACCTTTTCCCAAAAGGAAGATGGAGGATGTCTCGCGTCACAGGTTCAGAAGCCTTCCGGACACGTGGAAACGGGGCAGCTGCAGAAGCACCGTGATTCCTCAGGAGGAGAAATGATTCTTGGGGACAGTCAGGCTTAAGGTCGCCCCACGCCCCAAGTTCTCAGTGTGTGTTCTTGGTGATCAGCAACAAAGAGAGACAGCGTGAGAGAGAGAGTGTGTATGTGTGTGTGAGATAAAGCCAAGGGTCTGGAGATTCCCCCACGTGGACATTGAAGCACTGAGAGAAAAAGCAACTGGGTATAAGAAGCTGGTCAAAGAGCTGGCCAAGAAGTGTGATGCCTTTTTTAGCCTCTGAATCCCTGACGGAGCAAGAGCCCAAGAATCTTAGGTCCAGGCCTGAACCAGGCTGGCAAGTTCACGTGGTGGCGATAGTCGGCGAGGTGAAGTCCATCAACTTCCAGATGAAAAAGGTCGTGTGTCTGGTGGTGGCCGTTGGCCATGTGAGGATGACAGGTGATCAGCTTGTTCATAAGGCCCCCCCCGGCTGTCAGCTTTGTGGGTTTGCTGCAAAAGGAAGAATTGTAGAGCATTTGGGCTTTGTATGTCCAGAGCAGCGTGGGCAAAGTGCCAGGATCTGTATTAAGATACAGCTCAATAAATCTTACTGTTTCATTTTTAAAAAAATGCTTACAGAGAATTTTTTTTGTGGTGTTAAAGAAAAGCTAGAAGACTTTGCTCTTTTTCGGTGATATTTGGTGCCTGGCACCTCAGTATTCTGGACTCCGCAGGGGAAAAATTCTGGGCAGTAGTAGAATTCGAGGTTCACGCCTGACTTGTCCAGGGATTTGCATGCATTATCTTCACCGTCAGGTAGACGCCCCTCACTCTGCAGTGGGAGGTTTCTGGGACATGCTTAGATGCATCAGATGTTTTTTAAGGAATGCAGCAAGGTCCCTAGCTTGTGTTGTTGTTAAGTGCCATCAAATTGTAGACGACTCATAGCGACTCTATGCACAAAAGACCTGAACACTTGTATGACTTGCATCGTTTCTCCACGTTCATAGAATTTCCAGAGGCAAGCTACTTCAGAAGTGGATGCCACTCCTGCTTCCAAGCTTGTTTAAATCAGGGAGCTCCACCAAACACCGTCCATCCACCATGAGTGACCATGATCACATTTGACACATCAATGTCACAGTGTTTAGCATCACAGCGACCACGAGTTAACCTCTGTACAGCAATGCACAGACCAGTGCTATACCACCTAGAAGAATGTTTGACAGAAAACCCCCAATTTGAACCGGGCCTGAGGGCCCCCCAAAAAAAGCACATGACCCTCAAAATTTGCTATTACTTGTACACGTGGACCGCCATACACCGGCAGCAAGGAGCCAAGAGACCTTGAGTGGAGTCATCCAGGAACAACCTTGCCGCCTTCTCCTCCCCTCTCGCTTTGGGGGTTTGAGGTTAGGATTAGGGCGAGAACAGGGTTTGTTCTCTCTCTCAGACACACAGACTTGGAATCAAAGTGCCCAGTTGTTTCGACCACGGTTGTAAGTGATGGAGTGGGGAAAAGCACTCAGGTTCCTTTTTTATTTATTTTGTATAATTTTAATGAACATTTACAGAGAATCTGGATTTCCATTCATTCATGGCTGCACTTCTCTACCCGCCCAGCCCTCTTTCTCCCCCCGCCCCCCAGTTCGCTCCTCTCTTTCAAAAGTAAAAGAAACACTCCTTCCCTGGTACACAATCCCCCTGCACCCCTCCCACCACCCCAAGTACATTCCACTCTGCAACCTTAATTGTGGACTCTTGTGATAACCATAATACCCTATCCTACATCGCTTTTAAATTATTCAGTCCCTCATCTGTTTCAGTGCAGTATACGCAATTTAGCCAGTTTTTCTCAGTCTTGCCCCCACCCTGATAACAGTCCCATTTTACAGCAGTGGCTCCATGCAGTATTTGTCCTTTTGTGACTGAGATATTTCACTCAGCATCATGTCCTCCAGGCTCACCCGTTTTGAATAATATTGCATAAGTTCCTTGTTTTTCAGTGCAGCATAGTATTCCATTGTGTGAATACACCACAACTTCTCTATCCATTCGTTTGTTGATGGGCACTTAGGTTGTTTCCAACTCCTTGCTATTGTGAACAGAGCTGCGATAAACATGGGTGTGCATATATCTGCTTGGATGTCAGTTATGGTCTCTTTGGGATATATTCCCAGCAGTGGAATTGCTGGGTCAAATGGTATCTCTATTTGCAACTTTTTGAGAAAGCGCCATACTGCCTTCCACAGTGGTTACACCTGGGATTCCTTTTTGCGTTTGTTTTTTTCTTCTTATTTCTGCCACAAACCTTTCTGAGGAAAAGACAACGTTCCTACGTGGACTGCCACCACCTTTCTTGAATGAGTCTGACCCTGTTTCGTTTGAAAGTTCCAAGGGAGACTTGTAGTATCAGGGTACAGAGAAGTTTTTCGGGGTGGAGTTCTAAAAGCCTCGGACCATTGTTGGCTGATTGAGGATTGTTTTTGTGGTGTTGGGTCGATTCTGACTCACAGCAACGCTGTGAGAACAGCCCCGTAGGGTCTCTCATCTGGAGTCTTTGTGGGAGCAGATGATGGGGTCTTTGTTCCTTGGGTGGCATTGAACTGCTGACTTGCCGGTTGGCAGCCGAGAGCTTTAACTGCTGGCCTACCGAGTCTCTCCTGGCCCCAAGCAGTGGCTTTCTCTTTGTGCTTTGTGGTAGGGTTAAGTTGGGGAGTGCCCGCCATCACAGGCCAGGCACAGAGAGCCCTGGTCGTGGTCCGTAACACAGTCAGGGACAGGCCGACCCCCAGAGTTTAAGGCCTCAGAAGCCTTCAGGGCCAGATGCCCTTCGTCCCTGTGGGGTCCCTGTGGATCAGAATAGATGCACCAGCTATGGCTTGGGTTTGGGTTTCGTAGCGACAGCAGCGGAACCATAAGATCATTAGGGTTTCCTGAGCGATGTGGAAAGAGCCCTGGTGTCGCGGTGGTTACAGTATGTGGCTGCTCTCCCCACCCCCTCCCATGAGCCACTTGCTTCCGTCCAGATTCACAGCCTTGGGGACCCAAGGGCCAGTGCTGCTCTGTCTCATAGGACGGCTGTCAGTTGGCGTTAACTTGGGCACTGAGTTTGGGGTACATTTCTGATGCAGTACTCTGTTACTTCCCTGTCTCTCTTGGGTGTTAGCTTTTGTCTTGAGCAAAGACTCTATAATGTCTTTACACATGATCTTCCGTCCCACGCGGACCATTCCCGGCAGAGTTTGGAACCAAAAAGGCACGTGTGTCTTCTGAGGCTTTGGGAGAAATCAGAACCTCCCAGCAGGATCGAAAGGTTCTGCCACTTGGGTTTGCCTTTCCCCTCCTCTGGGGAGGCCTCCATCCCATGACCTAATTTCTCTTCCTTTATCGTGGAAGAATTTGCACCCTGGACTCACGTTAGGGCTGGGAATTGGTGCCAATGAATTGGAATAGTCTGTTAGAACCGTAATCTTAGCCTGTGTGTTGGGAGGTGCTGGCGAGCCCAGGCTGACCCGCAGCATCTGACCCGTGTGTCTGGCTGACCCAGAGATAGCAGAATGAACCCCACACCTTCCTCACCGCCAGCGGCTCGAGTCTGTGGTTGCAGGCACCGTGACAGCCCATCTCAGTGAGGGTCTTGGTCCCTGACCTAACCTTCCCAAGCTTTCCAAGCTACCCTGAGACATCACAGAGCAGTTTTTTTACTATGCCCAATGAGCAAATGGTATTAAACATCTGATTGAAAAGGTATGGAGATAGGAGGTATCCTTGACATACACCTTTCCCCGATTTTGAACCATGCAGTGTCTCCTTGCTCTGTTCTAACCGCCGCCTCCTGGCCCAAGCACAGGTTTCACATAAGCACAATCAAGTGTTCTGGGATTCCCGTTCTTCTCAGGGTTACCCAGAGTTTGCTTTGAGCCACACAGTCAAATGCCTTTGCATAGTCGATGAAATATTTCAATCTCTATGTGGAACAGCCTCCATTATGGACTGAGGCTCAATGTCAAGAAGACAAAGATTCTCACCACTGGACCAATTGGTAGCATCAGGATGGATGGCGAAGAAATTGAGATTGTTCACAGCTTCAGTTTGCTTGGCTCCACAGTCAACACTCTTGGCACCAGCAGCCAGGAAATAAAAAAACGTATTGCGATGGGAAAGTCTGCTGTTAGGGACCTCTCTAAAGTACTCAAGAGCAACGGTGTCTCTCTGGAGACTAAGGTGCACCTGATACAGACCATGGTCTTTGCAATCACTTGTTATGCATCAGAGAGTTGTACAATGACTAGGGAGGATAGAAGGAGAATTGATGCCTTTGAGCTGTGGTGCTGGAGAAGAGTACTGAATGTACCACGGACTGCCAAGAAAACAAACAGATTCATCCTAGAGAGGGTTAAACCAGGCTGCTCCTTGGAGGCAAAGATTCTGGGGCTTCATCTGACATACTTTGGACATGTTGTAAGGAGAGACCGGTCTTTAGAGGCGGACATCATGCTGGGTGGAGTAGAGGGACAGCACAGGAGGGGAAGACCCTCTATGAGGTGGATTGATTCAGTGACTGGGGTAATCGGGATGGGTGTGTCAGAGGAAA